CAGCACAATGGCCACAGAAGCCCATACACAATATGCTGACCCCAGTAGCATCACAGTTTTGGGGTCCAAGGAAACTTTATCAGTTCGTTTTTGGCAAACAGGCACATAATATGTGGCAGAAAGAATACACTGTGGTCTAAGTCTTGTCTGATCAAACTTGTTGCTTTTTATAATGGTATAACTGCTTCAGTGGACAATGTAAGAGCCACTGATGTCAGCTATCTGCATTTCAGTGAGGTCTTTGACACAGTCCCCCATAACATCCTTCTCTTCAAGTAAATAAAATATGGATTTCACAGGTGGACTGTTCAAAGGAAGAGGAACTGGTTATAACATTGTACCCAGAGAGTGATGGTCAATGGCTTAATGTCCAAATGGAGATTGGTGACAAGTGGTGTCCTTCAGGGGTCAGTACTGGGATTGGTGCTCTTCAACATCTTCATCAATGACATCAGCAGTGGGATCAAATGCACCCTTAGCAAGTTTGTGGATGACACAAAGCTGTAGGATGCAGTCAAAATGTGCAAGGAACAAGATGCTATCCAGAGAGACCTAGACAGGCTTGAGGAGTGGGCCCAGGTGAATCTCATGAGGTTCAACAAATCCAAGTGCAAGGTCTTGAACATGGATCACAGCAATCTCTGCTATCAGTACAAGCTGTAAGGATGGAACACAGCCCTGCCAAAAGGAGCTGGGGATACTGGCAGATGAAAAGCTGGACATGAGCCAGCACTGAGCCCTTGACTGCATCAAAGGAAGCGAGGCCAGCAGAGCAAGAGAGGTGATCCTGCCCCTCTGCTCTATGCTGGTGAGAGCTCACCTGGAGTACAGCATCCAGACATAGAGTCCTCACTGCAGGAGAGACGCGGACCTGTTGGAGGGTGTCCAGAGGACAGCCACAGAAATGATGCATGGGATGGAACATCTCCCTGTGAGGACAGGTTGAGAGAGCTGGGGCTGTGTACCTGGAATGGAGAAGGTTCCGATTGCAGCCATTTGTTTTCTCGAGGGTGGCCATACGAAAGAAGGGGACAGACTCTAGCTGGTTCTGCTTGATAGGACAAAGGGAAATAATTTCAAGCTAAAAGAGAGGAGAATTAGGCTGGAAATAAGGAACAAGTTTTTTACAACAAATGTGGTGAGGCATTGGAACAGGTTGCCCGGAGAAGTGGTGGATGCCCCGTTCTTAGAGATATTCAAGGTCAGGCTGGGGCAGGCTCTGAGCAGTCTAACAGAGCTGTAGGTGTTCCTGTTCGTGCCAGATGAGTTGGACTAGATGACTTTTAGGGGTTCCTTCCAACTCAAGCAGTTCTATGATTCTGTAAGTCCTACACTTGCAACACTGATAACCAGTTGTACTCAGGCTGTTTGTGTAAAGAATGCCTGTTTAGTACCTTCAGAACATATCAGTTAACTGTGAATGAACTAGCAGCATGGTACAAAGAGATGAGGAGACAGAATCCTGCATGACTCATTTTCTTGGCCACGATATCTCTGAGCATCCATCTCTATGTAGGAAAATACATACCACATGAGCTACAGCTACATCAGCACTTAGCACAGACCAACAGAAATGGCTCTGCCAAGGGAAAAAAAACAACAGTGCCAATCATTTGAAATTGAAACTACATAGTGGAGAGCAGGAGGAAAAGGTGTTTGTTTTTAAACAAAGCACCTGATACTGACACTGGACAAGCTCCAGCCCTCCAGCCTTGTCTCTGGGACTGGCTGACTGGTAGCAGGCAGGATGCAGTAAGACAGTTCCCAGAGCATGTCCTCCCACTTATTTTCAGGTATTCCCAGACTAGCCCACAATACCAGCTGAAGAAGAAATCTAAAAAAAAAAAAAAAAAAAAAAAAAAAAAAAAAAAAAAA